GCCTTCATGCAGCCCTTTTCAAATCACCACAGTGCGCGGGAGCAGTTTGCCCTTTATTAATATTAGGCCCTGGGTCACTTGGAGCTGGTGTACTTGGTGACAGCCTTGGTGCCCTCAGACACAGCGTGCTTGGCCAGCTCCCCAGGCAGCAGCAGACGCACAGCTGTCTGCACTTCCCGGGATGTGAGTGTGGTTCGGCTCGAGTACTGGGCCAGTCGGGCGGCCTCGCCAGCCAGCTGCTCAAACACATCATTCACAAACGAGTTCATGATGCTCATGGCCTTGGAGGAGATGCCGAGGTCGGGATGCACCTGGAGAAGCAGCAGGACCACTGTATTAACCAGGAGGCTCTGCTTGGTACCACGAGCCCCAGGCCTGAGTTGGGCACTGCAAGGCCACCTCACCAGCCTCTTCCCAGAGGCCAAGAGACATGGAAATAGGGGTTTGTATTTTTACTACTGTACCCAAGTTTTTTTGTTTGTTTCTTCCAACTGCAAGTGGTAAGGAATGCTCTTTCTCTCTCTTTTTTACTTTCTTCGTTTAATGCATCTGCATAGTGTTCCATAGGTTATAGCACCGTTCCTCTGTTAATTTATGGGGTTTCTATTTAGGGGTTTTGTTTTGCTTTTTGCTATTATACTGTGTTAAAATAAATATATGTCTTTGAACACTTGTATGAGCACAATGAAGGTTATTCCTAGAGGGTTTGTGCACATAACTTGGTAGATAATTACCAATTATTTTCCAGAGAGGACACAATCTCAGCACCAGGCTAGGAGGGTGGAGACCTGGGTTCTGTTGTTGTACCCCAAGTCACTGCCTGCCCTAAATAAGACAGCTCCTCTGGGCTTCAGTTTCCTCTTCTGTCACGCAAGCTTTCAAACTAGGTGACCTCTAGTAAAACAAATGGTAGCAATCTTGTAACAATCCTAAAATTTGAGTAGGCAGACATGGTTTTTCCATAAAGTGGGAGTTGAGTTCCAGAGGACACACATCACACCAGTGATGGAGATGGAACTAAAACTCAGGCTTATCAGCCCGGCCACTCCCTCTCCCCACTGCCTCTGGTCGCCTCTGAACTGACAGCTGGAAGGCAGAGCCTGTACCAGGTGGGTTTAGCCTAAACCCCTGTGTTGTCATCACATCCTATTCTCTGCAGGGTGAGGGAGTGGCTCCCTCCCCGACTGCAAGCTTCGAAGGGTGAAGGGTGCGGGGCCTTGCCCCACAGCTCTCCTCTGCGAGCTTAGTCCTGATCCAACCCCTCCCTCACTATTTTTGAGCCAAAAAGTTAGGCTAAGCGGCAGGGTCACTAACACCCACTCTCACTCCACTTCCTTCAGAACCCTGGAGCCTGCTCTCTGCTGCTGCCCTTTGGCCAGTCCACGTCAGCGCCAGGCCCACCCAGAGACCCAGGCTATCAGGATATTCAGACTGCTAATGGGATTCAGACCCGAGACAGGCTCACGTCTGGGATCTAATTGAACAAGGGGTGAGACTCTCAGGCAGGCTGGGGAGACCCAGGGCAGGCAGCCCTGCTCCTGGGCGTCCTCCCAGCCCTGGCTCTGCTGAGCAGGGCAGAGACTGAGGCCAGGTCGCCTGGAATCCTCTAGATACGTTGGTTGTTGGGTACCCAATGGTGTCCCAAAATGCCTGTCAGTGCTTGAGTCCCAGGAATAGGTACCTCTCACGGGTGTGCTGGGAGGCTGCAGAAACAGAGTGCATGAGGGCTAAGGGGCGGGACAGGCAGGAAGCGTGTGAGGGGCTGACCTCTGCTTCTGTCAGGCCATGTGGCTCAGTCACCTCACTGAGTATTTATGCACCTCAGGTTCCAACCCCTCAGCCCCTCAAAGACTGAGTGCCCTCCATGTGGAAGGCCTTCCCCAAGACTGTAGTTCATGTGAATTGCTCCTCGCTCTGGCCACCACTAACTAGCACTTCTGGTTTTTACCGGTGCGTTCGGCACCTGATCACCCTGAGCCCAGCACTGTCCTGTGGTCTTCCTTTAATTATGTCCCACTTAACATTCCACGTAATCATCTTGTCTGTCCCAAAGCCCTATATAAGCTCCTGGACTGTGGGTAAAGCATGCTTTAATTGTCTCCTGCACATCACAGGTGTAGGACAGACACTGGGCGGTGGCACCTCTGAGATTAAGTGTTACCCCACGGTGTGCCTAAGGCCACTCGCCTCAGTGCCAGGAGTAAATCGGGTCCCCTTTCAAGGCTCTCTGGCCAGCACACGCCACACACACGCTGGCTCCCCACTCTCACCTGCTTCAGCACCTTGTAGATGTACATTGAGTAGGTTTCTTTGCGCCGGCTGCGCTTTCTGGGCTTCTTGTCCCCGGAACTGCGGCCTCTCCGGCTCCCAGGCTGCTGCTGCTGCTGCTGCGCATGCTCAGCGCTCATCCTCCTGCTCTTCCTCACGGCCTCCTCCCGCTCCCTCGGGCCAACTTTTATGAAGTCAGCTGCCCACCTGGGAGGGCGGGGGGCCGGCACCTGGGGGCAGGGAAGGAGCTTGGCCTGACAGTATCCAGAACGCACTCTGGATTAATCTTATAAGAGGCTAATTGCTCCCTCCTCTCCCCCAGTGATTTCCTGTCTCTGAACAAGAAACCCCCCAGCAGCACCCTTCCCCACCCTATCACCTCCCAACACCTGCTGAAGTCCACGCGCCCACTCAGCACGCATGTGCTTGGCACGGCTGGGTGCTGGCCGTCGGGAGGAACACAAAGCACACTCCCCCAGAGGGCCCTGCAAATTAGCTGACGAGACAAGACTGGTTCACATGAAACAATTAGGGAAGAGTAAAAGGGGACAGTTCACACGGAACTTAGGGCTACAGGGGCCAGAGGAGGCTTTAGAGAATAAATGGGGATTTGAATCTGCTCTTGTGGGATGGGCACAGTTTAACTGGGGAGAAGGGAGGAGGTTTTAGTTGGGAGGAACGGGAGAAAGAGAAATGGCGTGAACTGCAGGTATAGCAAGGCTTGGACCGAAGGCAGAGACGGAGCAGCCGTGAGCCTGAGCCTAGCTGGCGGCGGCAGGAAGTGCAGTGGGGTGGCCTGACGGGGAGGCGGGTCGCGAAGCCGGAGCAAGAAATGCTGCAGATGAGTGGGGTCCCTGTGGAAGTTTGCTGCGAAGGGAAGGAAAGAAAAAGGCTGTTACATGGGGAAAGTTAGCCGTCTCTCGGCGCACCTATGTGTGAGCGAGTATTTCAGGTTCTTGAACGCTCTGATTATAGAAACCGGAGCGCACGCAAGGTACAGGCTGGCGGGAAGGTGGGGAAGACAAGCATCACCTGTCAGCAGGTAAGGGCAGGCCTGAGTAACCCCCGCCTTGCTGGGCTCTGCTTTTCCCCGGTTTCCGATATCCAGGCTTGTCCTACGTGCTCAAGTTCAAGATCATCAGGGTGGGCAATCCTTAGTGCAAAATAAGGCACTGCTAATCTTAGGCTTTTGTAGAAGTATGTATTTTGTGGGTTTTTAAAGCATTCTTAAAAGTGTTGAGACTGGCTTTTTTTCTGGACAAGCCGACCAGCCCACTACGTCCACTCCTGTTCTGAAGCCTCCCCATCCATCACGCACACGACACCCGAGATTAGTCCTCAGCATGCCTAGGCCTCCCTTGGCTGAAGCAGTAGCTCTGTGTTCCCATTACCTTCCTGACCAAGTCTGGATACTAGGACTTTCTGAAGTCATTTTTCTCTAGGCTCCACTTAAGGTAGGAAACAGTAAAGCCAGGCCTATCAGGGTCAGAGGGCAGAGGAGTCCTAGTCCCTCTTTCCAGCGTGGAATCTCGGGCTCAGCTGCAGCTTGTCATCTGATACTGTTTCCTCTGCCCAGGGCAGCCCTCAGACTCCATGGCCTCCTAAGAAGATCCTTTCAAGTTAAGAGTACCAATCCCACCTTTCTGGGCAGCACTCATGAGAAACTCCCCTCCCCTTTTAAGTCCTTTGTGTACCCTACTATCTAAGTCACAATTTAGCATCTGATTTATGCCCTTTCTGTCTTACTGGCTTTCCCTTTAGATCACGAGCTCCTTGAGGGTTTAGACACCATCTGGGACTTCTGTTGTTTTACAGTTGTAGATGTACTATAATGAGCCTGAAAAATCATGGCTGTGTATGTTTCCCCATGGGATGGTCCTGAGCTTCCAGAGGCACAGCGAGGAAGCCGTATCAGTAAAGCTGGAACCCTGGTGGCACAAAGGCTGAAAGTGCTATTGCAGTTCAGACGGGCTGTACAGAACCCCGGCTCAGAAGTGAAACAGATGGCGCTAATGAAAATTAAGGCCGTGGACAGGTGAAGTAACACAACTTCCTGTATCCCACTAGGAGCAGATTCACAAACTTCAGTGTGGAAATTCAGACTCCTGACCATGCTTGCATCTCTCCCATCCATCCCACCAAATGGAATCAACAGGCCCGAAGTCCAGGAATCTGCATTTTTAACAAGCATCCCAAGTGCTGAGTTTCAGGCAGCAGCAGGAAAGCCTCAGACCATTCTGTAAAACATGCTCTGTGTACAGGAATCATACAATAAAGGTGTTATACATAAAGAAATAAACCAAGTGAAAACAAAAACAAAAACAAAAACATGCTCCAGGAGAGCAGTTCTCACAGTGCGGCCCCAAGAGAAGCATCAGCATCACCTGAGAACTTCTGAGCGCTGTTAATTCTCACCCCACACCTACTGAACCAGAAAGTCTGAGGCAAGACCCACACCCAGCCGTCTGTGATCTAGCGAGTCTTCCAGGTGATTCTGATACACATCAATGTTTGTGAACCACTGGCCTAAGAAAAGTCACAATTTCACATCAGAATGTGAAGAGAGTTCACCTGTGGACCAGTCTCCAGTCTGCATCCATCCCACTGACTCCCACCCCAACTCTTCCCAAGGGAAAGTGTAAGCTGGCACTGCAGTGGGGAGGGGAGTAAAAGGCCTGGATACCCAAGAAGGAAGGCAGGGACCATGGCTTCTTCTTTCTTTATTGGATGCTTTGTAGATGTCACGCAGGTCTAAAAGTTACACTGTTAAATAATTCTTTAAAAACCAACCAGGATTAAGGCCCTGGTCCAGAGCTCCAAACCAGAAGCAGAAAGGAATGGGGGCGGTGGGCTGGGGTATTCCTCCAACATCACCAAAACCCAGAGAACGAGGATCCTAAGCTCCTTCACAGGCCAACCCAGGACGTGGGCCCTCAGGTTAACCCTCAGATGCCTTTGGCTGCATCACTATTAGGGTCAGAACCAGCAAGGAGCTGGCAGGAATGGCCAGCCGAGTCCAGACATGGACAAAAGTAACTGGAAGGACAGGAGACGGACAGGTACTGTCCAGCTGTAGAGAAGATCACAGAGTGCAGCTAAGGCAGGTGGGGGAGGGGCTGGGGAGCAGTATTGCAGCAATGCAGGAGTGTGGCCCCAGGGGCCTGGCCCGGCCAGCGAGGGCTCACACGTTGTGGGTCCTCCTGGTAAGCTGGGGCTCCTCGCCCACCAGCTTGGACTTGAGGTGCTCCTTGTAGGCCAGGATGTCTCCAGGCCACTTGGTGATTGTCTGCTTCTCACAGACCCAGATTTCTTGTGCAACCTAGAAAGCAAATCCTAGACTTAATAATCCTGGCCAACATTCTCCCCATCCCTGTCCAGGAAACTGTTCTCAGGGAACTCTGGGAAGAAAACTCCATAACTTCCCACCCAGCCCCATATCCAGCTCCCAACTTCACAGCCCCAGGGTTCTTAGGGATGGCCTAACCCAAGAGTGCTGTAACCGGCAGGTTTTGGAGACTTCCAAGGCAGAACCTGCGGTGCCAACCCGATTTCCAGTTCCCCAGCAGGACCTCGATCTGTTTAGAGGCTTCACCCTCAGCTTTCTTTTCTCCACTCCAACTCCCCCAAAGCTTCAGAGAAAAGATCAGCAGCTTTTTCACCAATGACTAGCGGTAGCCATCAGTCTAATCCCAAGCCTCCTTCGGGTAATTTTATTTCTAGGTGGACGACTCTTGGCAACAATAGTAAAAAGCACCCTGTTCTCTATCCAATTGCCTTGCCGGTTTTGGCCAACAATGCCAAGTAGGCTAACAGCCTCAAATAGCTATAAAGAATTAAGGGATTTCCACTAAGGCTTTCTAAGTTTCCCAAAGAACTATAAAATCCGGTCCTCTGTACCTGTCTATGTCCTGAGCTCTCTTTCCAAAGACAATAAACACGTATTAAGTGCCCCCATGTGCCACGACTGTGTCCCACCTACTTCCTAGGTGCCCCATTATGCCTCCCACTCCAGCCAGAGGCCTCACCTGCTGAATGAGTCTGAAATCGTGGCTGACCAGCATCATACCACCCTCAAACTCATTGATGGCATCTGCCAGGGCTCGATGGTCTCAATATCCAGGTGATTGGTGGGCTCATCCAAGAAAGCATGTGTGGGTTCTGCCAGGCCAGCCAGGCCAGACACACTCGGCACTTCTGCCCATCAGACAGGTTCCGGATTGGGCTCACCTGAGTGGAACCATGACATTTACAAAACCTGGTGTTACCTTCGCCACACATCATGACTCACCTCTATTACCCCATGGCTCCTCTATTATCACCATTTTATAGAAAGTGGGGCTCAGGAAGACCCAAGATCACCCAGCAAGATGGTGGCACAGCTGCTGGTCTTTCAAGGCCTGAAAGGGACACATCTGGAAGCCTGAAGCCCTGTCTCAGCACAGAATCTCATGAACTGGAGCAATCCCCTCAGCCCGGATCTGAATCCAGGAACTTGCGTGCCAGGTTTCAATTTCCCTTGCCTTTAAGTGATAGGGCTCATCCTGCTAGTTTGGGGGCAAGGGCATATCAGAGACTGCCACACTATCCCTGACCCTCCCTTGAGATCTGAATGCTCCAAACCATAACAACCTAGAGCAAAGGAAAGGCAGACCATCCAGCCAGTCTCCAGGTATCTGGGGCTCTCCCCACACCCTGCTCCACTGACCTGCTGTTTCCCAGTGAGACCATATCGCCCGATGATCTTCCTCATCTCTTCCTTCTCCTTGATCTCTGGGTAGCACTTCATCATGTACTCCAAAGGCGAGAGGTCTAAATCCAACTGCTCTTGTAAATGCTACAGGAAAAAAGGAACCCATCCAGGTGTGACTGGTGTCCCACTTCAAAAGGAACCCTGCTGGGCTTACCTCCCCAGTTAACTCTCCACCTCTCCCCAGGGGCCTATTCAAGATTCTAGAAGCAGCTAGGAGCTGACTTGGTCAAAGGCAGCCCCGTTCCCAAATCCTGGGCAACGCCCCCCACCCTAACGACTATACCTGATGGTAACGCCCTATTTTGACATGAGAGTGTTTTCGGATCATTCCATCTGTGGGTAGTAGCTAGAAAAAAAAAGCAGTAAGTGGAAAGATAAGCACACAAAAAAGGAAACCAGGTCAGAAGCAGACATAGGCAGAGAGGGGAAACAAACATATGTTAACACTGAGCAAGACTCATACAACTTCCTAAACAGAATCTATATCACCACCTCACTAATAGCTATTCTGGCCACTCTAAAAATATTTAGGAAGATATACTGAAACAGATGTTCTCACGAGAGGCAAAGACACACACCATACCACCTACTCAGTAGTAATTAAATGACTACTAGAGAAAGCACTGCAGTGTGTAACAAAGGACTCAGATCTGGGCACAACATACATTTTCTACAATAAAACATCTCCAAATGCACAGATGTTCCTATATGCTAAATGCTCTGAATGAATGCACAGAAAAATGTTGAGAGCACGCATGTTATTCTCTCTCTCACACTCACACAGACTCCCCCTTCCTCTCTCCCTCTCTCCTTCTGAGAAAACTGCCCCAAACTTCAGCTCTGCCCCATGATGATCTTCCACCCCAGAGGATGTCTCACTCACTACTAGGGTGCTCAGGCCCTGCAAGAGTAGTGGTCCCTGCGTACCCTCCCTCCTCCTCAGACACACTGAGCACCATACCTCTCCAGTTAGCAGCTTCAGAAGAGTTGACTTCCCTGCTCCATTGGGCCCCACCAGAGCCACTCGTGTGTCGAGATCAATACCAAATTCTAGATTGTTGTAGATGCAAGGCTGAAGTGGGTGAGAGAGAGAGAGATGGACACAAGGCTAGTGTGCCGATCAAGCTGACTGGCAGACCAGCCCCGCGGAGTCCCTAGTCACCACTGGAGGAGGCGGGAGTGAGGAGGAGGGAGGCAGCTCTCATGGTAGACCCCAACCCATGCCTCCATCCACCAACCCAGCTGAACAGTTTTCCTTCTACTCTAAGTCCCTGGACGAGGCACCCCAGCGGCCACACCTGAAAAATCCCCAGCATCAGAGGGGTTAGTAGTTGTGGTCAGCAAACAATAGGAGACTATTCTCACCAGTTGATACTCATCTTGTAAAGTGTACCCTAGCCTTCCAACCACACACAGGTACTCACCCCATCTTTTGTATACTTGAAGCTGACATTCTGCACCATGATAACGGGTGGAGGGATCTTGCCACATGGTGGGAAATAAAATGACAGTGTCTAGGAAGAGGAGAGGACATTTATCAAGTCAGGTTCTTTCTTATCCCCTCACCTCCGGCCACCTAATTCCATCCAATCAGACCCTACCTTGTCACTCACAACCCTCTCTGTCAGTCCAGATGCCATCATCTTCTGTAGCGTCTTCTCCTTGCTCTGGGCCTGCCGGGCCAGCTTGGCACTGCCATGACCGAACCTAGCAATGTAGTTCTGAAAGAGACCAGAGGGGGCCTGGAGTAAGGGTAGGCACCGAACAACTCATCCTAAATACTCAGTAAAAACTGATAACAACTTCTTCCAGACCTTCTCCAGCACCCCTCACCTCCCAAACACCCTCACCCGGCTCCCCGGACGACGTGAACTCAGCTCCACGACTGTCCTACCTTCATGTGTGCAATCTGATCCTGCTCCCAGTGGAACCTCTTCATCTGATTTTCTTCCAGCTCCAGCCGTGTCTTCACATACTGATCATAATTACCCTGCAGGAAAATGCACCAGGCGAGACGGGCAGCTTTAGCCGCGGTCCTGGGTTCTCACTCAGGGTTCAGGGGTATGCGATCTGGCATCTGACTTGGCCCTGGCTATAAGATTGTGCAGCAGGGAAAGAGGAAGTGCATTAAAGAAGCATATCCTAATCTAGAATCTGTGGTCTTTCAAATTACGTGCACCTCGTTCTTAGCTTAGCCAGAGCAGGGCTCCAGATCAGATCCTTGGGTTAGCTGTAAAGACACCCAGAGCACTGGCAGTAGCCCTGAAAACCTCCTTCATACAGACATCATGAAGCTCACAGCCTTCCAAGAGCACCTCCGACTACTCTGCACGCCTAGAGGCTGAGGCCCATGCAGACTACAAGAACTGCCTCTAGGTGGGATGGTGTGAGACCAGTCAGATTTGGGACCTGACAAACCCTGCACTATGGACTGCCATGGTTTCTATCTGCAAAAAACTGGACTCAACCTAAATATCCATCAAAAAGGGTCTGACAAAAGGGAAAAAAAAGGTTTGACAAATAAGTTATAGGATAGCTATACAATGAAATACCACACAGTCACTGAAAAGAATGAGGCTGACTTATGGAAATCTCATATGGAAAGCAGTCCAAGACAAACACAACCTACAGAAGAGAAGGACTAAGACACAACTGTGACAGGTGTACATGAAATTGTCTGTAAATGCTTACAAGTACACATGAAAGTTCTGAAAGGCTGTATCAAAGACTTAATACTCCGATGGTGAGCACAACCATGAATAAAGGAAACTTCTACTTTTTCATTTTTGATACTTTTTTCGAAATACAAAAAAT